GGGGGAGGGATGACGAAAGGCTGAGCCCCGTCATTCGTTTGACGCACAGGCGATGACGCCGGGGTAACGCCGTCGGGGGCGGTGTTTAACGTCCCCGGGGCGTTAAACGCCCCTCACGCCCTCTGCCGTTACATGTATACCCAGTGCCCTCATATAGCTAAGGCCTAGGGGATGAGCCGATTAGGCGTTACTTTAAAATCACCATTTTTTGTTGGCAAACCTTGGCTATTGTCATTACATACGAGTGATACGACACTAGACCTGGTCAATGTTCGGCCGAGACGCGTTTCGAATCGGTTCGAGAGGACACATCACAAGAGTTTTTAAGACTCGAGCCCGGCTCAACCTACATATCAGGCCTAAAAATTAATCGCGATCCCGGCCCACGTAAAAACCTACATGTTTTAGGTTGCATTGATAAAAAATTATGAATATTAAAAACAATTCAACAATTCCCCAAAGTGTGACCAGAATATATATATATAATCGCTCCCAGTAAAAAAATCTGCCCCAGTCCAATAATTGCCCCCAACAAAATATCTCAACCCAAATACTCCGTAAATTCTAGCCCAAACCAATTAATTGCCTAAAGACCCAATCCTAAAAATAGTCCAATTGCCCAAATTCTCAAAAGTAAAATTTACTCTCCTTAAAATTATTCCCTAATTCCCTTTCCTGCTTACCCCTTCCCCTTTGGAGAATCTAATAATCGCATAGCATCATCGGCGTATCACACAAAAACATGGGTGCAGAGTAGCAGACAACTTCGAATTCTTCTAATCTTCTATCGCACACAAGAGCACTGTCGCGTCGCCGCCACAACTTCAAATCCTTCTATCGCACAATCGGAGAATTGCACAAGCACAAATTCCAGGTATTTCGAAATAATTTTTTTCCTTTTTAAATTATGATCTAAATAATTAGGTAAATTTGAAAATTAGATTATTGTGTAATGTGTGAAACTTTTTGGATAATTTTTTTTTATTTTTTTCAATTTTCAATAAAATGAAATTGTTTATTATTTTGATTATTATTAATTATAATTTATAATTATTCCAAAGCATATGAATTCATGACTCAAGTCTCTAAAAAGATATTAATTCTCAATTGATATACTTGAATAATTTGTTCTAATCTTTTGTCATAGATTTAGTAAAAAAGTTTATTTCATTTTATATTTTTAGATAATGGAGAAGTTGTTTAAACGGAACACCACCTCCAACACCTGATTCTGGACCATCTCTACCTTCACAAGCTAAAAAAAATAGATTTGAGTGCTCTTTTGTGGGATCCTTTTGAAAGAAAAAAAGATTTTGGAGTATCACCATACTCAAAGAGATGATATAAAAAGAAAATATTTGATTAGAGGACCATGTCAACCACGTAGCCATGATTTTCCACGCTTGGGAGTAGTTCAAGGCATTTTGTTGAAGATTGATTTGATAAATATCGTAATTGGTTAGAATACAGTGTGAAAACAGACAAAGCCTATTGTTTGTTCCGTTACCTTTTTAGAGATCAATTTGGAAGACAAGGCGGGATTGATGCATTTGTTGTCGAAGGTTTTCAAGTCATGTGGGTGATGTGAAGAGTTTTCATAATAAAGCACTTGAGAAATGGGAAGCTCTAATGAAACAAAATCAATCTATACATGTTGGTTTTCATAAGCAAAGTGATTTGGTGAAGAATGAATACTGAATTAGGTTGAATTCTTTGATTGATGCTTGTAGATTTTTATTGAAGTGTGCATTACCATTTTGTGTGGTCATGATGAGTCGGAAAACTTGATCTTGAAGTTTTTTTCCCTTGAAGATGTTATTATAACATCATGTGAAACACTTTGTGATGGGATAAGCAAACCCTGTGTGAAAATTAAACTTTGCGGCCCACAAAATTGGAGGCAAAGACCTACTATTGCATTACATAATGATATTTATTTATAACTAATCTAGCTTGTATTTGGAAGAATTAAACCAACTTATGGATCAAGATTAAAAAAAGTTATATTCAAGAAAATTTTTAATTGTCTATTCCCACTAGGATTTAGTTGAAATGACGACCTACAAAAATGCAGCATATCCATGAGATTTCTTGGTGCGATTGTGAGGGAAAAACATCAAACATATGCTAATCTAAAGTTCATTCTCATTGCGTCTCGGATTCATCCTCTACATGAAGAAGATTACGACCAACATAAAGAAACAGATCTTCAACATAAAAGAGATCGTGATGTCCAAAAATTGAACATGAGATGAAGGAGAGAGCTACCAACACATTTGTCTATGAAATATCGGTGGAGATGTGATCGTTGAATCATTTCGTACATAGTACAGGTTAGAAACCCTAGATGAGAGGTTTTTTCATAATAATTCAAAGAAGTGTGCCTCATCATGTTGTTATATACCGGTGTAACTTAAATATAGTGATTTAATAGAGGACTATTACACAAACGTGTAACCCACAAATTAAGAGAGTATATCTGAACCACGCAAACATATCCGGTGTCATTTTTTACTCTTTTTATATTTATAGCCTTCTACAAATAGGTAATGTAACATTCCCTAAGTCTTATTCTTCTGTGTGTGTGAATTTTTCAAAACTAAATCTAATTTTAGAGCATAATCAACACACAACTATGATCATATTCGAGTATTTCAATAACTTTAATACCCCAAGCAGTAATATAGCGGCTTCAAGTTCTCGGTTTAGGGTACCGCATCGCCAATTCCAATTGCGGAACTGATGTTAATTCTTTTCAACTATGGTTGGCATTTACTACATTTAGATAAGTATTTACCATTTTTTGACCAAAAATACAATTTAACAAAAAAAATTCAAGAAGCGACACCAAAACATGTACTGAAACTAGAATCGCTGGTTTCGGAATCGGAACCGGAACTGCAGGCTACTGGTACCGATGGTGGTCCCTCCCTTAGACTTTATTACACCAATATCCCCTGTGGTTTGCTAAATGTGCACCGTAATCCCCTATAGTTTCAAAACTTAAACCGTTGCACCCTATGATTTTAATATTTCTACGTCAATGCTCCTCTAGACTAAGATACTCTTCAAAGTGTTTTGTTTTCGTTAGTGGACCTATTGATAATTATGTCCAAAGTTGGTACATTTAACGCCTATTAAGATGCCAAAAATTTCAACATGTAGGACTTAAACTTTTTTATTCTCTAAATAATACGGAGTACTTAATAATGTTTAGTGAAAGAAATAATGTCAAGTAATGGTGGACATTTACTTGAATAATGACTAATGGATAATGACCAATTGTCCTGCATTGACAAATAAAAATATATAATCCTATATTGAAAAAGTGTTTATATTTTAGTCATATTTAGCTAAATTATATTCTAATCTAATAGCCAAGTCTCATAAATTGTGCTCCCATCAAGAGAAGAGATGATGTCGAACAAAAAATGTGAAACGGCTAAAGTGACATGTAAACACGTGAAATAGAAAAAACGAGGTTGTTACTTGTTGGATGACTTGGATCCATCTAGATCTAGTTTGCAACCAGGCCGGGTCTAATCATTCGGGCATGAAATCGGGTCTCCAAGAACGCACCAAGCCCACTTGTACATATATATACCCGAATCCCACGCCCCCAAGCAGAAGCATTCTTGATCTTCCATCCATCTTCACTTCTCTCTTTCAACAAACCCTTTCGATTCGAGGTAAGGAAACCCTTCTCTCTGTTCTTTGAACAAATTAATCTGTTTGAAATCTCTACTTTTTTCTGCAAATCTTTAATCCCATTCTCATGTAAATTTCACATGAAATTAGCGTATCTTTATACCAATCTCATTCATACCCTTTACGTTTATGTAAATTTTATAAGAACTATCACTCGAATTTGTTTTCCCTTTCTGTTTCCCAGTCATTTTAAGAGAAAAAAATCGTTTTTTTCTTGGAAATTTCTCCATTTTCCCACAGAATTTGTGTTCTTTCTTTGTTCCAGTTTATGGCTCTAAATGTGCAGTTTGTAGCAGTTGTTTGTGTGCAGAGATGCAAGATCAGAAGGATGCTGCAGGGCTGCCGCCGGAGGAAAATTCAGTTCGGAAAAAGAAGGGGACGGGGCAGAGGACTTCTCAAGGGGAGAGTTTGAAGAAGAAGAGAGCGGGGCAGAAGGGATCTGTCACAAGGGGGCAGGCAATGGACGAGGAGTACCGTGCGTTGAGGAGGAAATACCTGATGCTCGAAGAGGAGAGTTTCGCGCTCCGGAAGGAGCTGATGGAAGTTGAAAATGAAGTGAAGGCACTCGAAGACGAGAAGTTTGAACTGCTGGATGAGCTCGTTGTGTTAGAAGGCCTTCTCCATGCTGCCGAGATTCGATCCAAGGGACTGTTCTAGAGGACCGTGATCTGGTTTTCGCTGCCTGCTTCGATAGTTTACATATGTTACTCTCTTTATAATAACGTGAAAATCGTTGTTCGTTCGTGTGGTTTACTTGCGTTTTGATCCCTCTGAAGTTGGTTCATGTGAATGTAGTAGTGTGGGGTTCCATTGTTTGTGCCAAATGTCATTTCAAGCTTCATGCCTACTTGTGCTATCTTTCAGCAATCTAACCCTTAGAGATGGCTTCTTGGCCAGCATCAAGTCATCTGCCTCAATAGACATTGGGCAAATCTTTCACTTAGGACATATACAACAACAACGATTCAGTAAAGTCCCGCAAAAGAATAGGGTTTGGAGAGCCTGTGTGTGTGTGTGCAAGACCTTGCACTCTGTCGAAAATGGAGACTATTTTCAAGTTACTCCTTGTTCTAGCATAGTTAAACTAAACTAAGAAGGCACAAAAGTGTGACCAAGGTGAGAACAAAGTAGAAGTAAAGAGTAACTAGTAAACTACAGTAAAGAAAGCACACAAAGACAAAAAAAAGCACACTAAAAATCGAAGCAACACCCTTTCTTCATGCTTTCTACATTGGCGCATCAAAGATGCAATGAAATGTGAGTATTATATGATGCACTGAGGGTCCCTCAGGCCTGACCCAAACAATATACCTCAGAGGAGATAAATGGATGTAATGAAACTCTGATTTCAAGTGAGTAATTAGGAATATTTGTGCATTATGTAAATCATCTCACACTTGTCTTTGCTAGGAGTCGAATCCAGCCATTACACCGTTTCGCACCACCTATTGACCACTTGAACAATGCTCTCGGTCTTACGTTAATTTTATCAAATACACAAATTTGCTCTTAAAAAGTTGCCTAAAACCTAATATCCATTCTATATTTTTTTTAAGGACAAAATTGTTCATTTAACCATAAATATTGATGAATTTAATTATTATATGGGTGGATAGTTATAGCAAGTGAGTAGAATGCTTCTAATCAAACATATATTGTCCTCAATCCCATTACATACCCTTGCTGCCCAAGAACTTCCTAGAGACATTATCAGTGTCATTAATAGAAATATTTCTAACTTCTATTGGTGGGGGTATAAAGAGCTAGGGACACAAAAACAAAAAAAAATATCATTGGGTTAACTGGAAAGCTTTATGCAGCCCAAATAAATGTGAGGGACTTGGACTAAGAACCATAGAAGACATCCAAAATGCTTGCTCAATAGAGTAAGGAAGCTAGCTACAACTGGTGGAGAGAAAGACAGTTTTGGGCTTAAACCCTTTAATTTCTTTCATAGCACTTGTAGTTGTTTGTGTTGCTCCTTTTTGCTTTTGTTTCTTTTCTTTGTTCTCTCTATATTTAATAAGAAATACAGTAAAAGATTGTGTTTTCAAAAAAATAAAATAAAATAGTCAACATAACATGTTGTGAAGACACACAATAAATCAAAATGTTATAAATGAAATTTATCTAATAAATTAATTTTTTTATCATAAAAAAGAAATACGACTCATAATTGGGACCAAGGTCTCGGCTGCCCGTTGCCATCTACTCCCCATCCTACCCAAAAGTGTAATCCCATGAACTACTTCTATATCTTTCTTTCAATTTGACTTTTCATGGTCTTAATGTAATATTTTTACCATTAATATCTTTATCTGTATATATTAATCGATTCTAAAAATATGAGATTTCAAAACTGTGTCAAAACGAATATATTAATATTAAATTTATTTCACAACTCAATATATTTTTATCATAATTCATACTCAAAGTTTAAAAAAATGACCTGAAAGTTTAAAAAACAATATGGGATGCGCGGAGTACTCAACTATGCATGTATGTCCGAGTGCAAGCCTAGAGACATTCCCATGTATTCCCTTCGTCTCGAAATGGATCCCGCTGTTACTATTACGGCATATAATAACTTTTGTTTGTATGTTTTCATTGATAATTTAATAAAATAGAATATTCTTGTCACTTTTTGTTTTATAGAGTTTTCTATGTATTTTTGAACGACGTAATTTATATTTTCTATTTCTATATCAATTTGTTCGTACACATATAATAATCATCAGTTGTCTATCGAGTTGTTTATCAATTCTGATTCTCAATGATTAACAAAAAAAATGGTTGTCGATTAGTAAACGAACAACTCTCTTATTTTTTTCATGCCTGATGGTGTAAATACCGTGCAAATATTAAGTTTAGATAACGGTAGGGCTGTACGTGGAAACACTTGTAACCCGGTTTGTTATTAATGATAGTAGAACTATTTACAAAGTACGAGCCGTGTAGGTTCATTAACGCATGCCTCACAAATGAGGCTTGTAGTCCTATTTATAATAATGACTAAACATGTCTCTGCTCTTCTGGCCGGTCAGTCCCCAACCGGCTAGAAGGCATGCCTTCGCCAGATGAGGCCGTGTCCGTGATTCCGAACCTTCTCATCCCTGACCGGTCAGACTGCCCCGGTCGACCAAGTTAATTAAAGGGTGTTGGGTTTGATACCTCCCGGTCGGTGCGAACCTACCGGATGGAATCCATGGGTTATTACCCATCAAAGCCACTAAAATCTGTAGGTTTCGAACGAAAATATAATTTAGAATTTGTCAATAGGCATAACTCAAACAATCAATATATAGCTTGGAGGTGTAAAATAAAGAATGTTGTGGGCGGGGCTGGTGTTGAGGACTTGTCGTAGGGTCCAAAACAAATTAAAAATTTATAAATAACCTTAGCTAACCCCCAATATATAATCAAATAAAAACTATAGCTAAGGCAAGTAAGGATCGATCCCACGGAGAAAGTTTGTATTTTTTAAAACCATTTTAGTATGCGAATACGTTGTCACGAAAATAAATATAAAAATAAAACTAACTACTACACATATGATAACACTTATAAAACTTATAATAAAAACTTATAAATATAACTTATATAAACAAAGAACTTATAATATAACTGAAACACAACACAAAGGGGGGTTGAATAAAAAGTAAATATTTTTTGGTTTTTTATATTTTCTTATTTTTTGGTTTTTTGATTAAATGGGGAAAAACAAGTTCTAAAGATAATCATCTACTCCAACAAAAGTAACCCAAGAACACCACCAAGAACCCGAAACAAAATAAAAAAAGAGAACAAACACAATCGAACATTACACGTATAGGAGATTAAGAGTGAACGACCATCAATTTCTTCCCGTTGGAGCGTGTGGGCGAACTTTATGGAGAGACGTTGGAGAAGATGTGCGTTACTTCGATCTGGGCATTGGCTTCTTGCGGAGAAGAAGTCTCCGTTTCTTTTGTTTTTCCTTTGCCGTGCGTGAGACTGAAGAGGAGAAAGAGGTGTTGGGCTCATCTTATTTTGTTGATGGGTTTGGGCTTCAGCCCAAGTTCAATATCTTCTTTCCAAACTTGAACTGCATTTTGGTCTTTTGCTCTATTTTTCTAAAAAATAAGATATCTGATAATTTTGGGTTAAGAAAAAATAAAATAAAATGAAGACAATAATAAAATGTTAAAAAAAATGATTAAAAAACTACTATTTTTGAAAGAAAACTAAAAGATTGTAAAAATGAGAATTAAAATAAAACTAAGCTAAACAACTAAAATTTCAACTCTAAAAATATTTAAAATGCCTAAAAAAGAATAAAAAGAATCAAACCAAACCCGACTTATCAGCTGGTCTCTTAGCGAATTAATTCGATATGAGATGTTTCGTGTGTTTTACATAAGGATCATGCTAGAAAGTAGAAACCTACCACGGGTTTCTAACGGATGACAACTACAGATAATTTATATATGTACATACGATAATCAACTGTGTTTACAGATGATTATCGTTTGTGTATGTATAAATCATATGTGATTGTCATTAATGAGACACGTATCTGTTGGATTCCTAGCAAAGTTTGTTTACATAAAGGTCGGTATTGCGGTTGAGACTAGAGACAAATATAATGTACAAATTTATACTCCCACCATCCAACAATAATGCTTCCGTTGCGCGTTACAATGATTTTCTGAAGTTATTTTCAAATCATTTTATGTGAAGAATCGTATGGAATTAAAAATATAAATTAAACTAGTACATATTTAAAAATTACATGAAAAAATATACAAAATTAGAGGTGACATGACTATATTATTTTATCAAATGGGTAACAAAAATACACCAACAAAGTGAATAAAGTTTGATCTAATGAATAGAGAACTCCCTCCATTCTAACAAAGTGAATCAAGTACTCCCTCCGTTCCAAAAAAAGTTTCTATTTTGACCAAGTGTAATATTAAGGAAGTGTTAAATTGTAGTTGACTTCTAATTTTGCTCTTGGTGTGATGGATAGATTATTAGAGAAAAAGTATGAATTAATACGTAGAGTATGAAAAAGTAAAAGTAATTTTTTAATAGAAAATAAAAGTTTTTTGTCGAAAGTAAAAAAAAATGAAAGAAAAAGTGTCACGAAGGAGTATTATATCACTTCTCACTTGAAATTAAATGTGAGGTAGGGTCCGGGGTTGGCTTAAGTGTGGAGGGGAGTACAGTAGGATGGTAGGTTCATCGATGTATTTTTGGTAGGGGTGAGCACGTACTGAATCGATACCGAAATTTCCCGAAAATACCGGGATTACCAAACCGAAACATACCGAACTGATACAATACCGAAAAAGAATTGTACCGAACCGAATGGGCGGTCTGGTATTTAGGATCGGTACGAGGTAACTTCCCATACCGAAAAATCCCGAACCGAACATATATACAAATACGTCATAAAAATAACAAAGTTTTTATATTTCTTCATTAAAAAATAAATTGATTTTGAAAAGTTGGTTAAAGTGTAGGTGAATTACAAATAATCTTTTATTTATATAATCATTTATTTGAATTTTATTTTTTGTAGATTTATATTAAAAAGATTAACAAATACTCCGTATTTGAAATATTATTTTGTTATCATTCATTCTCTTTTGTTAGTGAAATATAAAGTATAAATTAAACTAAGTTTTATAAGTATTTTTTCATTTAATTATTCACTTTTCAATTGTTTATGTTTCTTTTATTTGAATGTGCTTTCGCTTTTTTTTATAGAAAAAGTTTTGTACATTCCAAAGTGTAAATTAGGTACGCATATATATTCGTCCCAATATTTACCGAAACCGAAACAAAACCATCCCGAACCATACCGAACCGATACTTCGGGATCAGGATCAGTACGATGTAAAATCCTATACCAAATCGAAATACTCTTTCCATTCCACAAAACCCTTCCTCTTTCGATTTTTTTGCTTTCCACAAAACACTTCCACTTTCCATTAAAAAACCACTTTTACCCCTACTTTTTCATATCCTACCTATCACATCATAATTTTTTACTAATAACCAAACAATCACATCATACTTTTTCACTAATAACCAAACTATCACATCTTACTTTTTTCCATCACGTGAGGGGCAAAATTGAAAAGTCAACCAAAATTTCACTTTCCTTATTTTTCCCCAAAGTCAAAACCGGAAGGGTTTTGTGGAACAGAGGAAGTATTTGGTACGGTATCAATACGGATTAAATACCGTACCATACCGTGCCACGCTCACCCCTAATTTTTGGAATGAGTGAGGAGGAAAGGGGTAGGAGAAGGGTGATATATATGGCCTTATAAAAAGTAGCAAAATCGACATGTGAAATAATAACTCTACTAAAATACCGGCTGGTCGTGCATTTCTCTATCTACCTATATACTCCTTCCACAAATAAACTTTACGTTGCGCGTTACGATGTTTGACTGAAGTTATTTTCAAATCATTTTATATGAAAAATGGTGTAGAATTCAAAGATAAAAATTACATATTAAAAACTATATCAAAAGATCTAATACCTCCGTTTATTAAAACGGTTCTTGTTTTGACTTTGAGGCAAAATAAGGAAAGTGGAAATTTTAGTTGACTTTCCAATTTTGCTCTTGATGTGATGGATAAAAGTAAGATGTGATAGTTTAGTTATTAGTGAAAAAGTATGATGTGATAGGTAGGGTATGAAAAAGTAGGGGTAAAAGAGGTTTTTTAATACAAAAATGAAGTGTTTTAAGGAAAACAAAAAAAAAGAAAGAGGAAGGGTTTTAAGAAACGGAGGGAGTACAAAACTAGAGGTGACATGACTATATTATTTTATCAAATGGGTGACGAAAATAGGTCAACAAAGTGAATAAAGTTTGACTCAGTAAATAGTAAACGTAAAGTTTATTTGTGGACGGAGGGAGTATCATATCATCATATATATTACTCTTTCCGATAGTAATTTTAATAGACGTTGTTAACGACTTAGGAGGTGCGGAGTGCATTCTCATTCAACGATATTAGAAATGCCATGGCGGGGGGGTCCAAGGGGCAGAGCCCTTGGCTGGGGTCGAGCTGAAAATCCTTTGAATTTTCGTAATCGGAGTCTTAAATATGTAATTTTCGAACGTGTGAAAAACGTACTCAAATAAGGCTCAACACAGTGAACTATTCGAATAAATGCACATTTATTCAAATAGTTCAGCACATGCCTGTTTTTGGAAAACCCCAACTATTTGAATAAATATCCATTTATTCAAATAGTTTAGCACAGGTCTGGTTTTTGGAAGACCTGGACTACTCGAATAAGTTGCCACTTATTCGAATAAGTCGAATTGGATAAGTGGATAACTATCCAAAAGATAAGTTTTTCTCCACGGGTTGCGTTTATTCGGCCAACCGTCACGTCCGATCGCCCAAGAGGTAAAAGTGACTTTTTAATAGAAATAAAAAAAATCTTTTTGGACGGATGTAAAAAGAAAAGAGAAGGGTTTTCAGGACGGACGGGAGGAGTACATATTTAAATGTGTATATATAAATATATACTCGCGGAGGCAGCTTGGGTAGTTGAGTGGATCAGGCCAGGAATTGAAGAAACAATAATTAAGCAGCTCCTAATAATGCAGGTGGGCGGAGCGAGGAGGAGTAGGAGTGGAGGTGGCGGCGAGTGCGGCAGCATCAGGAGGAGGAGGAGCGGCGGCGGTGGCGGAGGCCAAGGAGGGTGCGGGTTTATTGGGACGACATTGTTGATGTGGGCTTGGCTGGGGGCTCCTCACTCTATCCTTTTCCTACTCATTGCCTCACTCCTCTTTCTCTCCTTCCCCATTGCCATCATGTACGGAGTAATAGAATATATATATAATCACTCGTTCGGTTAATTCTTTAATTAATTAATTATTATTATTATTATTATTATTATTATTATGAATGATTTGTTATATTATTTCAGGGTATTTGTATTCTTGTTTGTATTGATGCTCATTCCCATCGACCAAAACAGTAAATGGGGACTTACACTTGCCAGGTTGGTTCTCACACACACATATATAGTTGCGATTCTCGTGAGAATGATGCTTGGTGAAATAATTGAAAATGATACAGATCTAAGGCTATCAATGGATAGCCGAAAATTCGATTACCGTCTGCATTCGTATTCGTTTAAAAAGGAAATATCCGCATCCGTTTTAAACGGATATTATTCGTATAGTATCCGGTTAAGGATATCCGATTACTAAACGGATATACGGATTTGATAATTGTATATCCGATCCGTTTAAAATCCGATCCGAATATGCATCCATTTAAATAACCGTTTATCGGAATATTCGATCCGTTATATTTAGTTTTTCCTAATTTTTTATGTTTATATTTTGTTTCTCTAATATATTTCAAAGTATTAGACATTTTATATACAAAATAAATGTGTACACACATAAAATATACGCAAACATATAAAAATATCTGTATATGTGTGCTATGTAAATCTTTTTATCGTATAAAGTTATCGTAGAATATCATAAATCATGAAAACAAAGAAAATAATTATCCCATAACAAAGTATAGTTGTTTTAATAATAGTTTGACTTTAACCTAATTTAAAATTAAAGTATTGTTTAATTTGATTTTAAAAAATTTGAAACGGATACAGATATATCCGATATCCGACCGATATCCGACGGATGCGAATACGGTTTTGATTTTTAGTATCCGTCAAAATCCGTATCCGAATTCGATATCTGACAAAAATAAACGGATACAGATTTGGTAATAACACATCTGATCCGATTAATATCCGTTTACACCCCTATACGGATCTATTAGATATGGTAAATTGAGTGCCCCCGATTTTACATCACCTCTAATAAAAATGGTAAGCATTAATTGAATCTCATAAATATAGGGGTATGGTAGTAGTTACTAAGGGCATAAAGGAAAAATAAAAATGAACGGATAATATGATATAAATAGGGCGAAAGGTTTGATATTTTCTTTCTTTAATGCTAACTAGTATCACTCTCGTGCATTGCACGGCTAATATTTTTAATATGAAATTATTTAATCACTTTATTATCTTAAAAGTAAAATTAACAACAAATAGCTTATTAAATCAAAATATAAAATTTAAAGAAATTTGATGTTTGTTTTTTTTGTGAACAACATTGTTATCGCTATAAAAAAAACCCCCCACATTAGCACTACAGTTAATAGGTACACAATGAAATTTATGTACTCCCTCCGTCCCGAAAAACATGGGAGTTTTGATTTTGGATGAGGATTTATGGAGAGTGTATTTTGGTATTGAATTTCCAAAAATGTCCTTTGATGTGATGAGTAAAAGTATGGTTTGATGGATAGATTATTAGTAAAAAGGTATGATGTGATAGGTAGGGTATGAAAAAGTAAGAGGTAAAAGTGACTTTTTAATAGAAATGGGAAGTGTTTTTTGGGACGGATCGGATGAAAAAAAGAAAGGAGAAAAGTTTTCTGGGATGGAGGGAATATTATTTAGTACGTAATGAAGTCAAAATATGCATAAATCACTTGCCCAAATACAAATATATAGTAATTAAAAAACATAAACTTAAAACTAAGAACTTTGCATATTAACAATATGAACAATTACATCGGGTTAGAAATTACAAACAAATACATAAAATAAGAAAGGCAATACATCAATTTTATTGATTGCATTTGAAAATTGCAGTCATTTAAAATTTGGATAATTTTTATGATTTACAAATAATCTTTAAAGTTGAATCATACATTATATTATTTCTATCTAAATAATTGTGACAATTCTACATATGAAATGAATTTTAAAACTTTAGTACTAAAATTATTTTTAAATTGGGTAGAAACTAAAAATTAATAGATGATAGAAATCCACAGGCAGAGCAAATATTTATACATGCTAGAAGGGATTTGAAAAGGAAATAGACGTGCAAAAATTTTCATTATAAATAATGACATTATGTATGGTACTTAATAATAAATGTACAATAATATTCACGTTCCTAACAGCTTTTGGTTACCTTTTATGTTTTACACTAACTATTATAATTCTTCATTTAACATTTATTTATTTACTATTTTATTTGAGTAATGCTAGAGTCACAAAAGACAATTTTGTAAAGTTTATGAGTTATTTATTTGTGACTCTAGTATTTTTTATTTTTATTTAGAACACTCCATTTATTTAGAACATTTACGTACTTACCATTACCGTAATCCTCCATGTACCATGTTGTATTAAAACTTACCATTTTATTTAGAGCTCTCCATTTATTTAGAACTAGTATTTGAACTCATGACATGCACGGGTGGAACGAAATTTTTTGTCGATTTTAAATAAAATTTAATGCAATATTTTTTCAAGAATAAAGAAAATATACTTCTCTCATGATATTTAACATCATAGAAAAAAACCAAAGTGGAATAAATAATATTTGAGGGATTGATTGTGTACAACACAAAAAAAAATTAATACCAAATTTTCTGAAAGACTTCATGGTATACAAAAGATATGTTCATTGTTCTTATTATTATTTTAAAAAAAATTAAAAATAAATTTTAAATTTTACCATTTTCTTTTTGTTAAGGAAAAGAATTTGAGTATCATTTCTTTTTTTAAATAAATTTCAACCACATGTTTTTTCAAATGTTTTTCATTAATTTATTAAGTTATTTTTTTAATTTTTGGAAAAGTCAAATTATTATTCGGTTTTTTTCTTTTTTAATATAAATAAGGTATGTGTTATACTAAAAAAATGCATTATTTTTCCATTCATATTTTTGTTGCATTTTAATATACATAGAATACATTTCTATTTTCAAAAAGATTTTGAAATCTCAAATTTATATTATTCAATTTTATTTTTAAAGAAAATAGTGTTTGGGTATGATATATTTTTTGGTTTCAAATAAACATCAGAGTATTTTTTTACATCAATATTATGGTCGTTTATTTTTTTTGGTGAATTCAAGTTGCTAGTAGGTTTTTCAATAGTGTAGAAGTATTTGAAAAATAATGTTAATCTCAAAGATGTTAAAATTTGAAATGTGCATGAATACTTTTTTATCATTTGTCGTATATAATTTTTATGTTCGTATATAATTTTTTTGCCTTTTAACCTTCATGGTATAAACATGTATATGAAAACTATTTAAACCTTTTTATCAATTAATATCTTAGAGGCCATAATTTAATCGGCATCAATTTCTTACTCTGTAAATAATATTCTTTAAATTTTACTCAGTTATTACGTGGCGTTGACATGTTAAAGTTTTGCCAAATAGACATGCCAAATGTCGAATTGCTGTAAATCGGAGTCTCCTTTATTATAGTAAAGGATTATTTAATTTAAATATTTTCCAATAAAGAAATAAAATATAAAAGTTTTTAAACTCGATTATGCTGAGAAATCTGTGTTTAACAAATACGAAATTCAATTTCCATAAAATAAGTGTTTTTGTTAACTAATTTTTTAAATATTACTTGTTGACATGGCATGCTGACATGTCAAAAAAGTTGTCTAATAAGCGTTCCACATGTTACAATCTTAGAAGCCCAACTCTCAAATTTTATATATAATGATTTACTTTAGTCCTACTAATCTATCCCTTCTTGGAATAAATTTGTTTGTTTTGATTTTTTTAAATATGAGTTCCTTGTTTAAATACTACGTATCAAAATATATTATTAAATTTTAATATTTTCCAACAATGAAGTAAAATATAAAAGTTTTTAAACGCGATTATGCTGAGAAATCTGTGTTTAACAAATACGAAATTCAATTTCCATAAAATAAGTGTTGTTGTTAACTAATTATTTAAATATTACTTGCTGACATGGCATGCTGACATGTCAAAAAAGTTGTCTAATTCCACATGTCACAATCCTAGAAGCACAACTCTCAAATTTTATATATAAAGATAAAGATTTACTTTAGTCCTACTAATCCACCCCTTCTTGAATAAATTTGTTTGTTTTGATTTTTTTAATATTAGTTCCTTGTTTAAAAACTACGTATCAAAATATATTATTAAATTTTAATATTTTCCAATAATGAAATAAAATATAAAAGTTCTTAAACGCGATTATGCTAAGAAATCTGTGTTTAACAAATACGAAATTCAATTTCCATAAAATAAGTGTTTTTGTTAACTAATTCTTTAAATATTACTTGCTGACATGTCAAAAAAGTTGTCTACTAAGCGTTCCACATGTCACAATCCTAGAAGCTCAACTCTCAAATTTTATATATAATGATAATGATTTACTTTAGTCATACTAATCTATCCCTTCTTGGAATAAATTTGTTTGTTTTGATTTTTTTAATATGAGTTCCTTGTTTAAGTACTCTCTACCAAAATATATTATTAAATTTTAATATTTCCCAATAATGAAATGAAATATAAAAGTTCTTAAACGCGATTATGCTGAGAAATCCGTGTTTAACAAATATGAAATTCAATTTACATAAAATAAGTGTTTTTGTTAACTAATTCTTTAAATATTACTTGCTGACATGTCAAAAAAGTTGTGTAATAAGCGTTCCACATTTCACAATCCTAGAAGCCAAACTCTCAAATTTTATATATAAAAATTTACTTTTGTCCTACTAATCTATCCCTTCTTGGAATAAATTTGTTTGCTTTGATTTTTTAAATATGAGTTCTTTGTTTAAATACTCCGTATCAAAATATATTATTAAATTTTAATATTTTCCAAAAATGAAGTAAAATATAAAAGTTTTTAAACGCGATTATGCTAAGAAATTTGTGTTTAACAAATACGAAATTCAATTTCCATAAAATAAGTGTTTTTGTTAACTAATTCTGATCTTTAGTCCTACTAATCTACCCCTTCTTGGAATAAATTTGTTTGTTTTGATTTTTTTTAATATAAGTTACTTGTTTAAATACTACGTATCAAAATATATTATTAAATTTTAATATTTTTCAATAATGAAGTAAAATATAAAAGTTCTTAAACCCGATTATACTGAGAAATCTGTGTTTAACAAATACAAAATTCAATTTCCATAAAATAAGTGTTTTTGTTAACTAATTTTTTAAATATTACTTGCTGACATGGCCTGGTGACATGTCAAAAAAGTTGTCTAATATGCGTTCCACATGTCACAATCTTGGAAGCCCAACTCTCAAATTTTATATATAATGATATTTATCTACTTACCAATACCATATTCATCCCCATTTTATTTAGAACACCCCATTTTATTAGAATACTTATTTAAGAAAAGAAAACACCCTACATAGCACTCTAATTCCCCCAAAAATAAGCATTTAGCACTACCAATTGTTTTTTACAAACATATATATTTATGGTGTCAAACCCTTCGTATCATACCCTTTATCCCTTTTTATTTTTTTCATTAAAATTAGGTTATTGAAGGAGTTCAATTACCGCACTCGTGCGCCTCCACCTACGCGGGTCTCCTTCGTCTACGTCTTCACTCCATTACCAGTGATTCCTTCACCGATTAGCAGCGGCGATCATCATCACCACATCTCTCTAATCAATATAGCACTCCTATTTTGCGTATTATAAGCCTATTAAAGTGCTATATTCGTATTTCTCCCTACTTATTTATTAACCATTGTATTCCTCCAAGTACCGTGCAACAAAATTAACATTTAATTTCGGACTATTATTATTATTATTATTATTATTATTAATGGTACCATTTAATAAGGCCACCTGTTATATGGTTATTAATGATCCTGACATTTTTAGTCATTAGTTACGTTATCATTCACGTAATACATTTTACACGGTCACAATTTTACATGTTTCCATTTATTTTTATTTATTCTTACATTTATAGTATACTATATTCATTAACGTAATTTATGTTACAAATTATACTCATGATAAACTATAATGGGAACATAAATAATTACACATGGTCAAAGTCCCAAGCTTAATAGCAGGGGAACTCCGTCTCAAGCTTTTCCCGCCCAAAGCACATTCATTCAGCACCATTTTCTACGGTTGTCCTTCTTCTTCGTAAATTACCAATTTAATAAATTCGATTTAAGGTATCACAATTAACTCTCCTGTATTGGAATTAATGCGGCATATAATACTAATTCGTCATGAAATATTATGCGGTACTATATCGTCCCATTTCTATCATCTATTAATTTTTAGTTTCTACCCAAGTTTAAAAATAATTTAAATGTTTCCTTTCTTAATTTTTTTCCTTTTTTTTAATTTCTTCATTTTATTTAACTACAGGCTTTAGATCTTTTTCCTTTGTTAAATCATACCTTAAACTAGATCCCATTAATTTCCCATATTATTATTACTTAAGAGCTGCTGCTTTTCTTTCTTAGTTCTTTTCCTTTTAATAATCCACGGAGCATTTGTTGTTAATTGTGCCTTTTTTTCAATATTAGCATAATTAGACAATTTGATATTTGGTAATGCATAAGAACCGTAGATCCAATAACATTTTTTAAAATCAACATCTTTACTTTTTTATATCACTTAATTCTTTAAATGTGTTTCCTTTTATTCCCTTTTTTTAACATTACACACGCTTCATCTTCTTTGGCCCTGTTTGGCATCAGCTTCAGAGATTAGCGTTAGCGTTTTCAAAAAGATATTCGACGGTAGCTTTTAGCGTTAACGTTTTCAGAATTAATATGCACCGTTAAATTTTATCGAAAACGCTGTTACCAAACGAAGCCTTTATTAATTTTTTCCTTTTTCTCAAACTTTTTATTAAATACACACGGATTTTACCAAAACTAAAGCTTTCCTTTTTTTTAGAAAAGAATACACAGGGATCCATATGCAAAATAAGTATAATTGGCTTTCCTTTTTTCCTCCATTTTTGAAATCCATTTTTGAAAAATAGTACCCTGGTAGACACAGAAGTCCATTTTTGAAAAATAGTACCCTGTTAGAAATATCTCGTTAAAAGATACTCAATGACACCAATATTAAATATAAATGTTTAATATTATCTCCTTCTCAAATTTTAAAATAAGAAAATATACATTAACGAATACTTTTTCTCTATTATTTAATCCAATAAACATATACTCCATATTTTTTTGGTGATTTTTTAGAATGTTAAGCACTCTCTTAATGCAACTCCCAAGATCCCAAATTTAGATTTCAAATTTGACTCGATAGAGTTTTCAAGGATAGTAAAATTGTATGACTAAAAATGCATCTAAAATTTGTTATGAATGCTTTGTGATAACTGATGTGTGCATTGTGATTTGTCTTTGAAACTTGTTTTGAATTTAATTCTATTAATTTATGAATTATTGAATAATGATACATGATCAACTTTGTATGTAATGAGAAAACTTGGGAATGCATTATATTTAAAATGAATTTAATATAAATTTGAGAAATAGTTTGCTTATCTAGGATTCACACCCACATCATCAGTTATATATAATGCATAATTTCAAACAATAACAAAAATCCAAGCGGACTTTGTTGATTAATAATTAACAACAATACAAAACATATTACAATGCACTTTGGATTATTTATGATGCATAAATAGAGTGTATAATTTGCATTTACATGTCCCTTGCTCCATGATCAAATTTACATAAAAATGGTGTTTCAAAAAAGAAAAAAGAAAATATCAATGAGTATCAAATATAAAAAGTGGAAACGTGAATATGAGTTTCAAAAGGAATAGAGAATAAATACGAAAATCATGGACATGATTGATTCACCATTAATTGAGATATGGTTGACCTAGAAAATAACTCTTTTACCCTTATTTATTAGTTCACAATTTAAAGAAAAGTAATTAAAATCATTTGATCCAACCTCATGGTTCATTCTCATTTCTTTCATAAGATCTTATTCTCATTTCAATATATATATATATATATATATATATATATATATATATATATATATATATATGTATGTATGTATGTATATATATAAAATCTTTTGAGTTTTGACCTTGGCCTCAGGCGACCTTAAATAGTCAAATGATCTTGGAATTTAAGGTTACCTTCATTGTTTCGTTTGTAAAATTGATAGTTTCTAGCCTTAAGCTCTCTTTGCATTTCACCTCGCAGTCCCGGTGCCAAATTGGCGATCTGGGATGAGTTGCACGCAGTGGGGTGGAAGGAAATTAGAGTGTATGGTAGGAACAATTAATTTTAACAACTGATCGGAGCACCGTAGAAGCCGCGTATCATGATATGACCTTGATTTCCAAGGTCAAAAGAACCGTTGTGATATACGTACGTAAATAAAATAAATATTGTTATTTAATGAATGGACTTCCTAATCCTAATAATAACTAGCTTTGGATGTGCAGGCAAATATGCAGGACAGCTTGTGCCTATTTTCCAATTCATTTTTGCGTGGAGGATGCAGATGCTTTCGACCCTAATCGTCCATACAGTGAGTCCTATATACCTATCATTGTTACTGACTGTATTTTTTTTTTAAAAAAAAACTTTAATTTCTTGGACGTCCAACCCTTTAACTATTATCTCCATTTTGTACAAGTAATTATTAGTATTATTATTTGAGAAATTTGCCTAAATAGGACTAAAACATAATGACTTTCCCAATATAGGACCATATGTTTTTATTTCCCAATGTAGGACCTTTGGTCATTATCAAGTAGTCATTATTCAACTAAATGTCCATCGTTACTGGACATTATTCCTTCCACTAGGTCATTAATAAGTCCTATTTAGGGAATAAAAAAGTTTAAGTCCTACATTAGGAAAGTCATTATGTTTTAGTCCTATTTAGTGCAAATTTCACTTATTATTATCATGGTATATATTTCACTATATATAAATGCAGTATTCGGATACGAACCGCATTCGATATGGCCAGTTGGAATCATAACATTTTCTTCACTTTCTGGTCTCGTGCCTCTCCCCAAAATCAAAGGCCTTGTCAGTAACGTTGTAAGTTATCGTGACGCTGGAATAATACTGTAACGAACTTTTTATTTGGGGCGAAGGGAGTAGTAAAGTAATTAATTAACTAAATATATGCATATTGTGGGTGGCATTCAGATGTTAAATACTCCTGTGATGAGGCATGTATGGACATGGCTGGGATTCTCACCTGCAACTAAGCAAAACTTTAAGTCCCTACTCTCCTCCGGGTACAGCTGCATCTTAATCCCCGGGGGAGCTCAGGAAACGTTTTATACTCAACGTGGTTGTGAGGTGCGTTCGTTCAATTCATATATTACGTGGAAAACGTTCTCGCATCGTTTGCCTCATCAACTAGGAACGATCGATCGTTTTTTTTCTTATACTAATCGCACCGTCACGATGACACACACAGACATTGTTCCTGAGATCAAGAAAAGGGTTTGTACGGATTGCCATAGAGATGGGAGCACCTTTGGTTCCAGTCTTTGGTTTTGGCCAGGTTATATATATTACTCCTTTCGTGAAAAATTGTGTGACAAATTCTGTCACAAGTTGTGTGTGTGTGTTTTTTTTTTTTTACCATTTTGTATAAATATATGTCTTGATGAGATTATTTTTTTTGGAATAATGTGAAGTCCAATGTGTACGAGTGGTGGAAACCAAGCAGCAAACTTTACTTGAAACTGTCTCGAGCTCTAAAATTCACTCCAGTTGTCTTTTGGGGTTACTTGGGGTAAGTATAAATGATGGAGAAATGCTTTTAAGCAAAGATAAGACCAATTCTATATATTTGAATTCACCAATTCATGGGATTAGAATTGAATTGATGGAATTAGAATTGAATTGGATTGATGGAATTAGAATAGAATTGAATTGGAATTGAAATTCAGTGAGGGTCCGTTTGGTATACGGAATTGATGGAATTGGAATTGAGATTTCATAGGATTCAATTTCATAGAATTGAATTCTGCCAATTCCAATTCATTTTTTGCACTATCAATTCCAAATCCACATAATTTTTGTGCTACCAAACACCAGAATTGGAATTGAAGTCCTCAATTCCAATTCTATAGTTTGAATTCCATGTACCAAACGGGGCCTGAGAGTTGATGGAATTAGAATTAAACTGGAATTTAAATTTCATGAGATTCAATTCCATAGAATTGAATTCACCCATTCTAATTCATTTTTTGCATTATCAATTCCAAATCCACATAACTTTTTGTGCTACCAAACACCAAAATTGGAATTAAAGTATTCATTTCCAATTTCATACTTTGAATTCCGTGTACCAAACGGAGCCTTATGACTTTTGCGTTTTATCTACCACACTTTCACGCACTCTCTAAAATTTAAAAAAAAATGTGCTACTTTCGTTTATGGATATTTGTCTAGTTTTGATTTTTTGTGGTCAATCACTTTTAAGTTTTAACCTTTGATATAAAATTAGATAAAAATATGTATGTTATATTAATTTGATAAAGCCATATTTTGAAAAGTATTTTATAAAATAAATCATAATAACATTAGTTTTGTTTCAATATCTAATATCAATTTCATTAAATTAATAGTCAAAGTTTGTCTATTTTGACTGTCAAAGGTCAAAACTAGAAAATACCCAAGGGCGGAGACAGTACGTTCTTAAAATAATATTCAATCATTTTCAAATACTCCCTTCTTTGTTGAAAACACTTTCCATTTTGACCAAGTACCAAAATAAGGAAATGTTAAATTATAGTTGACCTCCAATTTTACCCATGATGCGATGGGTAAAAGTAAGATGTGATGGATAGATTATATTATTAGAAAAAAATGTAATGTGATAAGTAGGGCAAGAAGAAGTAGGGTAAAAGTGATTTTTTATTAAAATGTGAAAGTATTTTGGTGGAAAAGAACAAAATAAAAGTGGAAATGTTTTGAAGAACGTATGAAATAGAGTACTTCCTTCGTTTTCATATTAAGTGTCTATTGATACTTTCTCGATATAATGAAAAATGAAATGATGTAGGCGTAATGTATGTCTACGTTCATTCATTCTTGAATGTACAAAGAGAGTGTTAATAGAAAATTATCGATGAGACGAAAGAATTATTATTGTTTATTTCTTTACTTTTCATAATTTCTTTGAAACCATATTGTTTTTTGCTTCTTCCGTCCCACAAAACACTTCCCGTTTCTTTTTTCATCAGTCCAAAAAAATCCTTCTCTTTTCTATTAAAAAGTCACTTTTACCCCTATTAATTCCTTAACCTACCTATCATGTCACAATTTTTCTCTATTAATCTACACATCTCATCCTACTTTATCCATCACATCAAAGGACATTTTTGAAAAATCAACATCAAAACACACTCTCTTTAAATCTTTTAAAGTCCAAATGAGAAGTCTTGTAAGAGAGAGGAGGGAGTAGAAGGGAGAGGGAGTAAATGAGGGGTAGGGAGTACTTGATTAAATGATTGTACCATTTGTACGTACTAAATCTTAAATACACTAAGGGGCTGTTTGTTTCAGCCTCTTAATGGTTCAGATGTCTGAATGATTCAGCACTTAATGGTTCAGACTGTTTGTTTCAGTCTCTTAATGGTTCAGATGTCTGAATGGTTAAGAGATTTGCCTCTGAATGGTTAAGTATTATACAGAGTCTGAATGGTCAAGACCTCTTATCTGAATTGATCAGACATTTGCCTCTAAATAGTTAAGCAATATACTAGCTCTTACTGGTTCAGCACTTAATAATTCAGACCTCTTACTGGTTCAGCACTTACCTGTTTAGAAGTTGCCAAACAACCACTAACTACGGTGCAGGTCCTTTGTACCATTCCAGCACCCAATTCATGTTGTGGTGGGTAAACCAATCCAAGTCGAGAAGAATCCACATCCCACTGAGGAAGAGGTAATTATTCAATTTCCAAGTCCACTTTTTTCTTTTTCTTTTTCTTTTTTTTTTTAAAAAAAGCTTAATTTCGTTAATTACTTGGTAGCTAACATAGCAACGCCATCTCTTATTTTATACGGAATAGAACATTTGAAATCATTTTTTAATACACATAAACTTTATTTTGAAACTCATTACACCGATATTTAAATGAATTGAATTCAAAGTAAACGTAGTCAAATCTCTTTATTAAAATTATGGGAGCATAAATAGGTTGCGGAGTTACATGGTCGGTTTATAGAGGCGTTGCAAGAGCTATTCGAAAAACATAAAGAGCGGGCTGGCTGCGTTCATCTTCGACTCCAAATTCTTTGAAGTAATGCCTTCATGAACACATGATTCTTATCCATCATGGTTGTTATATATGACTTGAACACAAATTTATTAGGACCGTGCTACACCCCCCACTTGCTACCAATCTTGCCTCCACCTACTTCTCCACCACATATTTATCTCTACTCATTCTCTACCCGTCCTCTAATTTTAATTTTCTTGCCTTCCTACCACATATTTATGTAAGGGGCATGGTTGGTAGCAAGGGTGGGGTTTTTTAGCATTTTCCAATTTATTACGGACTAGTAGTATTTGCCGTTTGCCCCAACTTATTTAATACTCCCTCCGTCCCACTCTCTTTGTTCACTTACCTTTTGGCACACCATCCAATGTACTTTTTTAATCCATTTTATCTTGTAATTTGTATATTAAAAAATTATAGAAATTATATATTAATAATCTATATGTTAAGACAAATCAAACAAGATCACACATGGCTATATATTAGGCTTACACATTGAGAAAATTTGATGAGTCAAAGTGCTTAGATGAACAGTTCCAAAAGTCAAAAGTAGACAAAGAGAGTGGGACGGAGGTAGTATTCCGCATTTGAGTTGGTGTCTTTTTAGGGTGTCCTTGCTAGGAAGATACCTACAAAAGCACTCAAACTTGTTTTTAGGTTAGGTAAAAAAAAATAAGTGTCGGTTGTTGCTAAGATGCATACACGTGGACTTGTATTCACAAGGAGATCCTAAATGTAGACATGTTGTTACCAAATGGGCCACTCATATTTTTTGGGTTTTATGGATACTCGATTTGGGTCGGACTCGATTCTTTTAGAAGACTAAATTGTGATGGCAGATTAAATGTGTAGTTGGCCTGGTTTTAATTGATCCAAGCCCATTTATATAATCTATGAGACATGACAAACGAAAAAATCTCCTCACAATCGTGGATTGGAAAAACTGAATCACGTCAAACACTTATTCATGATTAGTGTTACTTTTTTCTCTCTTTCTTTGCAGATTATTTATCTTTGTTGTTTGCAAGTATTAGTAAATTCACTAAAAAAGACAAAAAAAAAGTTCTACCAATCTTAAATTCGTCATTCCAAAATTAACCTTGAACATGAATTAATGAATTAAACTTTAAAAATATTTCAAAAAGTTCATGAAGCTGTTTCTAGATTACTTACTGGTCACTTTGTGCCTAGCTATTTACAATTTTATACCCCCTCCGTTCCAAAAAGTCTGACACGTTTCGAAAAAACCGTGTCTCATAAAGTCCGTAACATTTCAATTAAAAAATCACTTTTACCCCTTACTTTTTCATACCTTACCTATCACATCATACATTTTTCCTAATAATTTATCTATCACATCCTACTTTTACCCATCACATCAAGGATATTTTTGGAAAGTCAACACTAAAATATCTCCCTTAATTTCTCAAAAAGTCAATATGTATCAATCTTTTGGGGACGGATGGAGTATGTTTCTAATTTTTTTGTTTTAACAACACTCTTGTTTTTTCTCATTTTCCCCCTTTTTTATCTGCAAAGAGTGGAAGTGGGGCTGCTAAAGGGGATGGGATCGTCTGTCCCCAATTTCCCGTCCCAGCTCAATGTCCCCCTCCCTCCTTCACTCATATTTTGCCACGTAACCCAACCCACTCACCCTAATTTAACACACACCCATCCCATATGACCCCTTATTCCACCACCCATTAAAGAAAGTGGGTGTCTGTTAAGTTAGAGTGGGATGGGTTACGTGGCAAAATATGAGTGAAGGAGGGAGGGGGACATGGAGCTGGGACAGGGAATTGGGTACAGAGGATCCCATCCCCTGCTAAAGAAGAAAGGAAAAGGAATCTGAGAAAAAAGTAAAAATGATGGGGATAAAATTAAAAATTACGAAGTAGAAATATACTTCGTATAAAGTTGTCTGAAACCAAATGCTCCATAAGAAAATCCTCATCCTCGATCACATACTTGAGCTCTAAAGCTTCAGGTCTTGTTTGAGATTTTGGATGTTTGTCTGTTTGATAGATTTTTAGTGTGTTTATCTTTGTGTGTTTTGGTGCTGCTTGTATTTGAGATTGAGTTTTATGGAAGAAAATCTTTGCATTCGATTCCAAAAATAACAGTTCATTTCGGTTTTTTTCTTCGATCTGTAATCAGACCTGCTATGTTATATGGGACAGAGCGTTGGGCGGTTAAGAAGACTCATGTGCATCGTCTGCATGCGGCGGAGATGCGGATGTTACAATGGATGTGTGGGAAGACAAGGTTGGATAGGATTTCGAACGAAGTTATCCAACGTCAGGTGGGCATGGCTGAAAGGAAACCATGCAAGGATAGGCAGCGGAATATAAAAATAACATCCTAACATGATTATCTTGCCCAGAATCACGTACTAAAACTTATAGTAGTAAGAAATTTGTACTTTTCTTCGTAAGCGGTAAAAAACGAAGAAGTCGTAGGAAGAGCGTTGAAAGTGCAAACGTAACCGTTCAAGCGTCCGGTCTCCAACTTTGACACACGAACAACGCCGGAGTCTACCACAATCTTTATGCTAGTAAAGATTATAGTAGTATAAAATATAAAGATTAAAATTTGGGATAATAATAATCTTGTATATTTCTATAGAAAATATTTCTAATAATATTTAGAAAATATTATAGATATTTTTCTATACACAAAATGATATTAATGGAACCAAACTAATATATTCTCTCTCTTGAAATGGTATGGCCGAATCTCCCATCACCCAAAACCAAACTAATTTGCAAATGGAGTGTTATATTTAAATAAAACAAAGATGTTTAATTAATTTTGTCATTAGCTAAATGACAAAACAATTAGCC